AGCCGTAACATTTATAATGAAATTAATATTAAGAATTAACTAAAACCTAGAATGTTTTCTCATTCAGGCATGTCTCTCCTCCTCTGGAGTAGCTTCCAAACACAGGAGGGGTAGCTGAACGTCTGAAGAGCTGGGATCTGTAAGGGAGTGTGTGCTAACAAAGAGAGGCTCATAGGTTTAGAGTGTACATAAAATGCACACATGCACATACATTTATATCCATGATTTTGGGGGTGGTGTTGCTAGGCCTAGCTCTGCTATCCTATGTATTTATAGAACTTGATCATAGGCCAGAACAGCAGGGTAATTATAGCATTATTAGCATATATGCAAATCAGGTAACCTATATACGCTGAATGGAGGCAGATTATTATTTATTTCTCTCCCCCTTTCTCCTTCCCTTGTATCAGCTCTGGCTCCTCAGAGCTGCACACCAGTAATTATCTGACATTATAAGAGGGGGTTGTAGCCCTGGAGGAGGGGGCTGAAGGGAGTAGGACAGGAAAAAAAACCTAGGGGCGGGAGGGTTTTATCTCATTTTACTCAATGTTATTCTGGGAAGAGTAGGGAGGAGCTCAGTGAGAAGCCTTTGAATTAACAAAGGCTAATTCCAGCGGGGTGGGGGGGGGCAGGAGGGGCGAGACAGAGACCTGAAAACAGAGACAGATGAAGCCAGAAAAGCTTCGAAGCAATGACAGAGACTAGAGGGACAGAGCCGCAGCTCACAGAGAGTGGGGGAGCCAGAGATGGAGTCACAAACTCACAGTGAGCAAGGCACAGGAAATTCAGATCTGGCCAGAAAACAAGGATCTGTTTTTTTTGGAGTTGAAAGGGATGAGCTCTCCAGGTTTATTTGGCATGAGGCCAGAATGGGGGCCACCCCATGTTGGTTTAGAGGCTGAGTCTGAGTCTTAATCCAGAGTCCATTCCATATTATCCAATCATTTCTCCTTTTCCTACCATCTAGTAAATGGCCATGGGGCCCCAAGCAGTGGCTTTCGGTGTGTTCATGCATTCTAACCAACACATGACCCGCAGAAACCATGTGGACCTGGTCCGACTCTGGACCCTCCTTTCTCCCACCAGGGTTGAGCCGCAGGCCTCTCCTCTTCTCTCCAGGTTGGGCTACCTTCCCTAGGTTCATTCTTAGGCTCTGCAACCGGATCTCCACAGGGTGCCTTGGTATCTAAGGAGATGCAACACCGCTTCCCTTTTCATTTTCCATCCCTCTCTTAGACGTTATTTATACCAGATCCGTAGTTGGGAAGCTGGGACCTTCCCAACTTTTCCTCCATATTGTCCCAGGGACTTGCCTCCACTGAGTTGGTTACCTTTTCCTCTGCCTGTCTCAGTAGGATTCTGCTGGTCCTTGGCACCCCTGGTACATTGGGGTTCCAGCCACGATATCCTTCTTTTACTGCACTGCCCAGGTGAATTAAGGGAGTGTGTCTGTTTGACCCCAAAACTAGATAGACGCTGGAGATACTAGTACTCCATCAAGTTTCAGATGTCTCCTCTCCACATCCCTACTTGCAATGCAGCTATCTAGCTACCTCTGTCTCAAAGAAGCCTTGCCCAACAGAGGCAAACTTCGAAGAAGGCAATAGTGGGGAGAGGCAGGATTATTGAAACTGTAGCAGAGTCCGGGGACCTTGAGTGGTGTAATGAAGAAGGGTCCCAGAAAGCAGTAAGGAGATAGACACTCAAAGAGGCAGCAACCAAAAGACTAAAAGGAAACAAAACTTCAAGGCTATACTTAGATTTTTGTGCAAAAATGGAAATTTGCTGTCATGTATATCTATATAGATAACAGATATGGATGGGCTTTATCACCAATGATCTCTGCATCTATGGCTTTTGTATCTGTGGCTGCTCCTAGTCTGATTGCTTCTTATTCTTCTGGCCATGTAGTACAGACTAGTAAAAGAGTTGAAGAGGTAAGGAGAAAAAGACAGAAGGAGCACAGAGAGAAACTGAGAGGGGCAGAGACTTAGAGATGGAGAGCTGTAGAAATGAAAGAGAAAGGTGCTGGGAAGCACCAAAAGCCTGGTCAAGGACAGGGCAGAAGCAGAGACTGACAGCCAGTCCTGGGAGCCAACCTTTCCATTCTCCACCCCATGTTAGAGACCTGGTATATGGCCCTCTCTCCTGCCTGCTTCTCCCCCAGGCTCAGCCAGGACATTGGCGAATAGATTTCAACTTCACCAGGCACATTTCTCTGCAAATGTCATAGCAGAATACTCTAGAGTCATCTGGACAATGGATGGGCTTCTCCCTGGGCTGCCCCAGAGAGACCTGTCCCCACTCATCCTGGCCTTCTAGGATGAGGCTCACCGAGCATTTCTTTTTGACCTATGTACTTTCCTACTTCTGCGGCTCTCCTATACAATTCTTAAGCTCCAAACCTATGGAACTCTGTGTGTGCACAAAAATATCTCTTACCCTCATCTTTTCTCCTACGAATACATCTCCCTGGCAATCCAGCTGGACATCTGTGGGCACACATTGTGTGCTACTTGCTGGGCTTGGTTATCCGGACCTGTCTGTGGGTACCACAAACAGGTTTGTGTTTTTACCCAGCAGAGTCTGTGCACACTGATACCTACCTGCAGACAGGCTCCATCATCCGACATGCAGGTCTGGCCACCACTTTTACTGCTGCTGTGGCTGACAGCACCTTCCAGAAATTCTAAGGACACAGCCCAGACAGTCCTTTACCCTGGGGTTCCCCTCTAAAGCTGCCCAATCCCCTCTTTCAGTGGCTTGATTATATTTCAGATACATACAGTTCTCCCATAATCCAGTCTCGCCAAAGAGCTCCCAAGGCACCAAATGACCCCCTTACCCTGGAAAGGAGACCAGACCTCACCACAGACACATAGTCTGGTGTTCCCGCTTGATAACGGTACCCACGAGCTGGAAAGAGATTTTATACTTTACATCTCCTTAGGTGTAGATTGGTTTCTATATTTGTACACACGTTACGTTTATTCCTAGAACCATATACATCTCTTCTGCTTGTTTTCACATAAATAACGGTCTCTATTTGGGCACTGGCCAAATACTAGCACCGTGTGTGATGCATGTGGCACGGAACACATACTGGCACATATATGGCATGCCTGCTTCATGCTCTGTAGCGTGGTGCCATTTCTTGGTGCAGTACTGGTACCTGCTTCAAATAGGTTTCTCTAGGTCTAATGCTTATTTCTGGGGCTCAGGCTCTTGGATTTTGGCTGCATCTCTCAGCTACGCAAGCAGCCAGTGTGCGAGCTCCGGCACCCTCAGTCCAGGTAGAGGTACTGAGCCCTGGGTGGCTGTGTTTATAGTTGCTAGGCTACTGCTGTGCCCGCTGGTGAGACCAGGCAGGTTCCCTTCCAGCTGCCCAGCACTCGCCTGAAAGTCAGCACCCCCATGGGTTGGGTTAGGGTTAAAACACCCGGGGCTCAGAGTGTGGGCTAGTAGGCTCACCCGTCTGTGTGTGGTGCTTACCTGCAGTGTGCAATAGCGTGTGTGCTGGCTGGCCCGTGTTTGTGTCCCGTGATAATGTGTATGTCCACACTCAGTGTGTGTGTGTGTGGTTTGGGACTGCGTGTGTGTGTGCATATGACATTTGTTATGCGTGTGTCTGTCAGTGTGTGCTGGGTGTGCCTGCTCTCTTGACTTGGCGGTGAGGCTCGCGGGTAACTCGGTGGGTGTCCGCGTGGTTCGTGCACGATGGTCTTCATACCCCTGAGTGTCAGCGAGCGTGGGCCTGCAGCCTCAGTGTGAATTGCAGGTCTGGGTCCTCTGTGTGCGCCTGGGCCAGGCCAAAACCAGGCCAGAAACTGCGGGCAGGGCCCCCGTGGCGCCCCTGTCTGCTCTCGGCGCTCTTGCCGGCGGCAGCGACTCGGGCTCCCGCTTTCGTCAAAGTCCTAGCTCCGCAGCGGCCTGGGGCGCAGACTCGCGGGGCGCGCGGACCGAGTTCTGCGTGAAACGGGGACCCTCGCGCCCTCGCCCGGGCGGGACCACCGCGGGCACCGCCGACGCCAGCCTTAGGGCCGCGGGCGCGCGGGGAAGAGGAAACGAAGTGCGGGCTCCGGACCCGAGGCGAGAAGTGAGCAGAAAGAAAAGAGAATCCATCGGAAACAGATAAAAAGGAAAAATAAAACCCACTCGAAAAAAAAAATAAAACGTTACAATAAAAAGGATAAAATAACGCTAAATGAAATAAAAAGGAGACATATTTTCGAGCTAAAGGAGACGTAAAAGGTGTTGAACTAAGTGATAGAAAAGGCGAAGAAAAAACAGGGCCGGGAAACCGCTCCATGGCGCCCGCAGGGAAGGGGGCCCTAGACGGGGCGACGGGGCGTTTGGGAGTCTCGGGCCGCGGGCTCAGCGGGGCCAGGCGGGTGCGCAGCGCCGGGGCCTCCTCCGCGGGTTGCCAGCCGCCAGCACCCGGCTCGGGCGAAGAGCCGGCTGGACGGTCAGCCAGCCCCACCTGCGGCGAGCCGCGGGAGCCCGAGGGCCGGGAGCCGAGGGACTGCTTCGCCCCCACCTCCGCCGCCGCTGAACTTGGCCGGGGAAATCCTCCCGGCCGCGTCGTCCCAGCGCCGGGTCTCCCCGCGAGTGTGCTCTCCGCCGCGAGGCCCTTTACGCGCGGTGTCTGGGTTCGCGGCGTCAAGCGGAGCCTCGGGCCAGCCTGGGCAGCCGAGAGCGCGGGGACTGCAGAGCGTCGCCCGCTCCCCGCCCGCCGTTCCGGACCCCAACCCCGGGGGAAGCGGACAGCGTCCCTCTCCGCGCAAACTCCATGCGGCAGGCGGGACTGGGTACGGGGCCAGGGGGCTGAATAATTAACAACGGGAAAGCCGGGGCGAGCGGGAAGCCTGGCAAGCCAGGAAGAGGAAAGATGAGACAGAGACAGAGACACAGGGACAGAGGGAGACAGAAAGGGGGCTAAGAGCGAGGCGGGCGAGAGAGGAGGAGAGGCTGGGGAGAAGGAAAAATGAGATAATAAAGGAAAAAAGCGAAGCGAAGGAAGGTGGGAGAGGCAGCGGGGCCCCTCTGGGAGCTTGGCCAGAGGCGCCCGAACCCCCCTCCCCTGCGCGGCTGCTGAGAGTCGCTCCCCTTCCCTTTTCTTTCCGAGCAGCCGAATTCTGTCCCTAGACGCTGAGTTCCCTGGAGAGGGTAGGGCCAGGATGCAAAGTTGCTGACCTCGGCCTCGGCTCTAGGGGAAGCAGGCAAAGGGGATGGAGAGACTGCTGGCGATGGAGAAGCTGGGACACTGTAGGGCACAGAGAAAGTGTCTCCTCCGAGAAGGGTCCAGCCAGCAGACCCCTACCCCCCACCCCAGGATCCAGAGCCTCTTCTGGGATCACATCTGGGAGAGGCTGGCTTGGTTCAGAGCTTGCCCGTCCTAAGCAAAATAAATAAAGAATTCTCGCTGGCCTCAGTGTGGGAGGAATCAAACAACCTAAACAAATACCTCCCCCAGCCTCCCTGCCCGCCCCTCCCTCCACATCCCCGGACAGGTGGGGAAAGGGCTGCTATGACCAGCTTTGCGGCCTTGGTCAAGTCACTTCCTCCATCCCTTTTTGCTTTTATAAACGCAGAGTCTGTGGGTGGAAGCTGTGGAAGTCCCTCCAGTGGAAAGGTGGTCAGTGCTGGGAATGAATGGGACGTAGGAGTCACTCCAAACGAGACCAGCCCAGATTTGGTGGGTCGGCCAAGCTCATCCCAGAACGTTTTGGACCTCATCAGGAAACACACTGTGTATTAATGCGTGGCTGGGTGCGGGCCAATCTGAAAGAAAGCCATCGGCTGAGGGGGCTGCTTCTGTGAGAGAAGCCCAGAAGAACAGGGAGCAAGAGGGCTTCCCAGGAGGGTCCCTGACATGAGATCAGTGACCAGACAGGGTGCTGGGGCAGAAGAGGATGGCGTAAAAGCCAGACAGCTTGGTGGAGGGTGTAGGTGCTGGGAAAAGCACAGTATGAGGCTGGTTGTGTGACTCCAAGCCAATTAAACTCTCCCGACCTCCTTCTGAACAGGCAAAATGGAGGAGCCGACACCAACTTCCCTGGGTTGTGGTAATAAGAACTCAGTGGTTAATGTTCCTTCCTGGCTCTTCATGGATGAGAACTAGGTGTTGTGTTGTGTTGTGTTTTCCAGTTCAGGAATGTCATGTTCATATTGTTTTCTCTCCTCGTTTGGGGTGGTGCTGAGTGGAGCGGGTAGGGGGAATGGCTGTATTTTGCTGCCTCTCACTCTTGCCTTCCTGTTTTACCAGTCTCTGAATCCCTGTGTCAGACTCAAATTATCTAAAATACTTAAATATATAACATAAAGCATTGCTCTTTAAAGAAAATGCCACTGAAATAAAATAAAACATCCCTCAATGCATTGAAATAGCCTGCAGTAAAACGCCGTGCAAGTCAGCTTCCTCCCGGAACCTCCACCAGTCCCCTGCTGCGTCTTCTACAGTTAAAGTTAACCACTCAAAAGGGATGGCATTTCTATCTGGAACTGAGTAAGTTGTTTGTACTGCCTTTCTGTCTGTCCCCCCACCCCACTTTCCTTATTTCTGTACTTTATTTTCAGATAATTATGGAGATTCTATGTATGGAAAAAAATGAATATTTTGACTGTTTTGGTTTTTAAGAGCCCAAGTGAGGCCTATGCATTTAATACAATTCCAATCAAATTTCTGTTCAATGAAGTTCTGGAAGTGACTTGAATGCTGAAAAGAATAAACAAGATATTGTGCAGGAAAGGAAAAGTTTAGGCGTTTATGAATGTGAATAGAGGTCACAGTGTAATGTTGAGTGAAAAAGTTAGAAGTTAATGAGAGAAGTAACACTTTCCTATTTTTACAGATTAAAAAAGCACATGAGGCTGGACGTGGTGGCTCAAGCCTGTAATCCAAGCACTTTGGAGGCCAAGGTGGGTGGGTCACCTGAGGTCGGGAGTTCAAGACCAGCCTGACCAACATGGTGAAACCCCTTGTTTAAAAAAAAAAAAAAAAAAAAAAAAGCACATGAAATAGCCATATAGTATTCACAGTCAAAGAAAGATAATGCGTGCGTGACCGCAGGAAATGAAGGCGTAGGCAGGAGGAAACGTAAGTCTCTGTGATGGAAGACGATAGACTGAAGAAAGGAAAAAGCTGTGAACTAAGAGTCGAAAATGGTCAAGCTTCAGTCCTGGCTCTGTCACTTACTGAACTGGGTGACCTTAGGCACGCCACTGACCCTGTTTTCCAGTCTTTTGAACGCCCTCTTCATTCAGTTGTTATGAGATCCAAGTGAAATTCTCTACGTCAAAGTTTCTTTATAATCTGCAAATGCTCTGTGAATGCGTATCATACGTACTGCAGATAACTTATGTGACCCAAACTACATCAATGCGTCCTACCGCACCATATCCCATACTGAATGGGCCTCCCATATGCCCCATCTCTGCAGCTGGGATCTCCAGATGGAGGGTGTCCGGGGCCTGGAGGCGCTTGGGCTTTGGGGGATGGAGGTGAGGTGAGAGTGTGGAGGGTTGGGCGGCAGCGTTCATTATCACCTTATCTCCCCTTTCACATTTTTCAGCCCTCACCCACCAGCAGTTTGCCCCTTCCTCCTACTTGGCTTTTTCTCTGCCTGGCCTTGACACACGCGGTGAGTGGAAGAGTCTTCCTGGGCTGTGGGCTGTAGTGTTGGAGGACAGGGGGTGGGAAATAAACCGAAATTACAATGGAAGGGATATTATTGAGATTCTAGGAAGAATTCTGACCTTCTAAGGCAAGAGACCCAGTAGCATTCTCTCCCCAGAGAAGAATCCCCTAATACCCTGGGAATGCAAAGGGCTGGGGCTGGGAGTGGTAGAGAAGACACGCCAATACACCCGAAAGAAGGGGAAAGCGAAAGGAGAAAATAGAGGCTTGAGAGGGCACAGGGAGAATTCTTATTTCTGTGCTCTCTCAAGAGGAGAGGGACTTGCATCGCACAGCTAACGAACCTCTTCCCAAATTCTCTGTGCGGGATTTGGCTGCTCCCAGAAGGGGGTCTTTTCTAACAAGGTGCCCCCGGGCCCTGCCCCTCCCTCCCCAGGAGCTGAAGCCGCCAAAGGTTCGTGGAATATAATGGATCATTTTCCAATTTACCAGGGTCTTAGAGATTACGCCGCTAATCCCATCAAAGACCATCTGCTTACATTGTCCCTCCTGAGCCAAAATAAATAGATCCTTTACTCCCTCCACTTCAACTCCTCTGGGGTATTGTAGCAGGAGAAAGTTCGACAAGGCCCATCCCATTTCCCCCTCCCTCCCGCTGAGGGCTGGACAGAAAAGGAGAAAACAAACTTAGCTTGTCTGAGGTGTGAAAGGTCACTTACGATCCTGACCTGCATTCTTCTCCGTTGCCTGCGACGATGGGAATTGGGGAGAGGGGCGGGCCCCCGGGGCTCTGGGGGTCTCTCAGGATCAGCCCCCTGCGGAGGTGTGGGACAGGCTGTTCTGTGCCCCACTGTCCTGCTGTCTCTGCTCTGAGGCCACCTTAGCCCCAGCCCATTTTTGGTCCCTTTCTAGTCTTTTTGAGTTTCTTCCACCTATGACTGTTGGGAAATAATTATTAAAATCTAACTTTCATCCCTCCCTTGACAGAACTGTGGGAAAAAGGACACGAGAGTCCATAAAAACACTAATTTGATTCCATCTAAGAGTTACTTGTTCTATAGGGTTTTCACATTTATTCTTATTTGTTGCTACTCTTTTGCAGAAAGGGGCTTCGTAAATGGGAAAATGAGGGGCTCAGGGGGAGCGCCTTCTGGCCCAAGGTCTGGGAAAAGTTGATAACTAGAACCAAAAGTGTGTATGTGCTACCCAGGCTTCAGAAATTAGATTATGTACGTAATATATTAAAAGGCGATAACCACTTTGGACAATCAATGAAATGTAAAACAGCCTAAGTGGACAGGGAGGGGCCTCATTGAGAAGTCGACACTAAAGGCTTAGAGGAGGTAAGAGAGATATTTTCAAGAAAATCAGGAAAAAGCTCCACACACAAGGACCATCCAGTCTCTTCCCACAGCTGCCTTCCGTCTTGCTGCCTCTACCCCCTTGGTCCTTCCGTCATCATTGTCCGCAACTGTTTTCTAACCTGTTCAGGAAGGGGCTCTCAGCCACCATCTCATCCTTTGCAGGACAATCCACAGAGGTGGGTCTCCCAAACTCTGGCAAACAGCTGCCTGTTGGGAATGACTCTGCTGTAGACACATCTGGTCTCCTGTAGAGACATGTTGTACTTTCGAAAGCAGCATAAGGTGACAGAAACAACATTGGCATCGGAGTCAGGACAATCTCTGCTACTTATGAGCTATGTGATTCTGGGTATGGCTCCTGGACTCTGCCTCTCCATTTCCTCATCTGTAAAACAAAGATTCCGCCTACTTCATGAAGCTGCTGGGAAACAGACAGTTCCTGGTGGGTGCTCTACACAGAGCACTGTGTGAGATAGAGCAGAGAATGGGTCCCACACCACAAAGAAGTTAGAATGTGCTTAAGAAATTCAACAGGGATATGTAAAGCACTGCATGTAGAGACAAAACATAAATTTTCTAGTTACAAGAACTGTTCATTTGACAAGTGTTTGCTGGCTGACCCTATGGACCAGGCACTAAAGGGACATAAGGGGAAGGAGACGTCCGCCCTGATTAAAGATCAAAAGCAAAGCCACAAATTATTGTTCAGAAAATATCGATGGAAATTCTACACAGAGAGAAAGAGATCACGTTCAACAGGGGTAATGTAGAATCAGGAAAGGTTTCACTAAAGAGGTGGGCAGGAGCTGGGTGGTCTTTGAAAGAAGGATAGGACCGGAACATGCAGAGGGTAAGACAAAGCAGATCAGTGTGTGAGAGACCAGGCTTGTCAAAGATGCATCTCGGAAAGACCTGAACGTTTAAGTGACCATAAGCTCAATATGAGCCAGTAACATGGTGGAACTGCTGAAGGCTAATGTCTTTGGCTCTGGAAGAAGAATCACATTCCAATCAAGAGAGCTGAGGAGCGTTAGTGCACTTAACTGACTCCATCTGAGACAAGATACTGACATGTAAGAGAGCACCGAGAAGAGGATTAACCAAATGGGGAGGGGGCTCTACCATATAGAAGGGATGTGGCCATGGGCAGGTGACTTCATCTCTCTCATCTTCATTTCCCTCATCAGTAAAATGAGAATGAGATTTATTGCACAGGGTTCATAGTGAGGGTTAAATGAGATTATATGAGAATACCTGCTAAAGTGCCCGGTACATGGGAAATACTTCAAATGATTCTTGAAAAAGAAGTCTTCTGGCCAGACGCAGTGGCTCACACCTGTAATCCTAGCACTTTGGGAGGCCGAGGTGGGTAGATCACCTGAGGTCAGGAGTTCAAGACCAGCCTGGCCATCATGGTGAAATCCCATCTTTGGGGGGGGGAAAAAAAAAAAAAAAAAGAAGTCTCCATTAAGTGAAGGATTGTGAACAAGCTGATCCTGGAGCTATGGTACCTGTCTTTTTTTTTTTTTTTTTTAATGTGCTGAAATCTGGATTTATTTATAAACTTATTAGAGACTGTCAGGGAAACACATGTTAGTTCCGTTCATCTTTTTTTTTGTCTAAAATCTTGTTGAGTCTCATCCCTCTTTATATGTAACACTAACTTAGGAACTGTTTCTTTATATTAAGTCAGAACTCATTTTACCTAGTGGTTTCACTTGCAATGTATAAACTGTATTGTATAACATTCAAATAAGTAATTGAGGCTGTCGCCCTGGGTAATGCAGATAACCTCAGCACATCGGGATGCCAAGTAGGGCAGATCACCTGAGGTCAGGAGTTTGAGACCAGCCAGGCTAACATGATAAAAACCTTGTCTCTACTAAAAATACAAAAATTAGGCCAGGCTCAGTGGCTCATGCCTGTAATCCCAGCACTTTAGAAAGATGGAGTGGGGAGATCACGCGGTCAAGAGTTCAAGACCAGCCTGGCCAATATAGTGAAACTCTGTCTCTACTAAAAACACAAAAATTAGCTGGGCATGGTGGCGCGCGCCCAAGTACTTGGGAGGCTGAGGCAAGAGAATCGCTTGAACCCAGGAGGCAGAGGTTGTGGTTAGCTGAAGTCTCATCACTGCGCTCCAGCTAGGCCACAGATGGAGACTCCATCTGCAAGAAAAAAAAAAAAAAAAAAAAGAAATACAAAAATTAGCTGGATGTGGTGGCACATGCCTATAATCCCAGCTACTCAGGAGGCTGAGACAGGAGAATTGCTTGAACCCAGGAGGCAGAGGTTACAGTGAGCTGAGATCACTCCACTGCACTGCAGCCTGGATGAAAGAGTGATACTCTGTCTCAAAAACAAAAAACAAGTAATAGAAATTTAATTAAAGAATGTGGAAAAAGTCATACACTAAAAATGAATTGAAATCCATCATCTGACACTGATTAACATATTTAGCAGATTAGACGAGACCTACATTTCTGTTAACAACATTGAAAAGCAGAATTTGTTTGTTTGTTTTTTTTATAAAGACGGGGTTTCACCATGTTGGTCAGGCTGGTCTTGAGCTGCCAACCTAAGGTGATCCGCCCGCATTGGCCTCCGAAGTGCTTGGATTACAGGCGTGAGCCACCACGCCCGGCAGATATGGTACCTGTCTTTAACTATCTAATGAGCAATCTACATAGAAAAGGGGTAGACGTGTTGAATGGTACAGGAAAAGAATCGGTGAGTGGAAATAGAAGGAAACACATTAAGGCTTGGCATGAAGAAGAATGTACAAACGGCCAGAAACGACCAAACACGAGAACATTTAGTCAGTCATGACCACCAGTTCTTGGTGATTTTAGACCAAGATATAGAAGAACAAATTTCTGTTTTGGGTAAGTGACTGAACTACCTGATTTCATAGCAGTATGTGCCGTGCTAGCTACTCTGGAGGCTGAGGCGAGACGGTCGCTTGAACTTGGGTGGTTAAGGCTGCAGTGAGCTGAGATCACACCGCTGTACTCTAGCTTGGGGGACAGAGCAAGACTCTATCGCTAAATAAATAAATAAAATAAAAAATAAAATTTGAACTTGCTGATTTCTAACATTCTTTTCAATGTCAAAGTTCTAAAAACCAGTAAATATGTCAACTTACATTAAAAATTGTAAGCTTCCTCAAAGTCCCAAAAAGGCAGGGATCACGCTCATGTATTTCTCAGTCAATGGCCCAGAAGAGTATTGGGTATATAACATGCATTTGATAAATATCTGTTTAATGAATGAATAAATGAATATGTAATACATGTCAAAGTTCTTTTTATTTTTTGAGATGGAGTTTTGCTGTTGTTACCCAGACTGGAGTGCAATGGCACGATCTCGGCTCACCGCAACCTCCGCCTTCTGGGTTCAAGCAATTCTCCTGCCTCAGCCTCCCGAGTAGCTGGGATTACAGGCGCGCACCACCAAGCCCAGCTAATTTTTGTATTTTTAGTAGCGACGGGGTTTCACCATGTTGACCAGGATGGTCTCAATCTCTTGACCTCGTGATCCACCCACCTCGGCCTCCCAAAGTGCTGGGATTATAGGCATGAGCCACCGCACCCAGCCCTCAAAGTTCTTGTACATTGTAAAAGACTGAAGATAGTTGGCCGGGCATGGTGGCTCATGCCTATAATCCCAGCACTTTGGGAGGCTGAGGTGGGCGGATCACAATGTCCGGAGTTCAAGACCAACCTGGCCAACATGGAGAAACCCCATCTCTACTAAAAATACAAAATTAGGTGGGCGTGGTGGTGCACACCTATAATCTCAGCTACTCAGGAGACTGAAGCAGGAAAATTGCTTGAATCCAGGAGGTTTCAGTGAGCCAAGACTGTGCCATTGAACTCCAAGCTGGGGAACAAGAGCAAAACTTCATCTCAAAAAGAAAAAAAAAAAAAGGAGTCTGCAGATAGTTATAAGTAGCCATGATAATCATTGACTTTTTTTTTGTTCTGTTACAAGTGCTTTACATGCATTATTATAAAGACAGTGTCACAGGAGCTCACTGTAAAAAGCACAATGCTCACTACTCCTCCTCCCCCACCATGGGAAGAAGGGAGGCTTGGGGGAAATAGGAAAGACCAGGGAATTACCATCCATGGAAGAGAGGACAGAGGATAAGATGGTGGTCTTGGTTCCATTGTGCTAAAGGAAACTGGGAGGGGCATGGCTGGGCTGCATATCCACTGATGGCTGCTAAAATAGGACTCGGAACAGAACACTAGGAATGGAGATGATACAGAGGGGGCTTTTGTCTTAGAGTTACAAACCCAAGCTGAGTGACGCTAAGGAGAAGGTGGCATCTTTCCACTGGCACTATGTTCATGACTCAGAAGGCTTGCATTACGGTGGGCAAGGTGGCATGATCAACTCCCTGTAGCCACCTACTACCAGAATCACTTTTTAGTGTTTCCTGACTGGGATAGAATTTATTCAAAGGCCCTTGGCTTTTGGCAGTGCTTCTGCTCCTGTATCAAAGCACCAATACTAGGTGAAAAAATACAATGAAGAGCTTGTGATAGTTACATGGCCTGATTTCTGCTTTGCTTTTGGTTTGCCCAGAAGGGCTTTAGTCCCAGTCCCCCCCCCTCCAATAAATTGGAAGGGAGGGGTCTGAGGTGTCCTGAGGAAGAAATGGGTGAGACAATAACTTCCCCAGGGAAAAAATTAAAGGCCAGGCACAGAGGCTTACTCCTATAATCCCAGCACTTTGGGAGGCTGAGGTGGGTGGATCACTTCAGGTCAGGAGTTTGAGACCGGCCTGGCCAACATGATGAAACCCCATCTCTACTAAAAATACAAAAATTAGTGGGGTGTGGTGGTAGGCACCTGTGGTCCCAGCTACTCGGGAGGCTGAGGCAGGAGAATCGCTTGAACCCAGGAGGCAGAGGTTGCAGTGAGGCAAGATCGCACCACTGCACTCCAGCCTGGGTGACAGAGTAAGACTCTGTCTCAAAAGGAAAAAAAAATCTGTCACCAGCTCTTTCCCCAATCAGTCTAGATTGGGTAACCCTATCTAAATACCTTCTCACCCTAATCCAGATTTCTCATGCAATGTTCCCATTTTCCCCCCTTTCTTGTGCCCTTTTCAGAGCTGGAGAACTCTAACTCCACTGGCTATCTGAAGAAACCCTAGGTCATATGTATTTGGCTTCCCTAGGTTTTCTCTTCCCTGCCTGCTTCAAGGTCTTTACCACTGAAGAGAATGCATCATTTGAAAGGACAGACAGAAAGGGAAAGGGTGCTTAAAGTCCGGGGAATTCAGACGAGGTGCCCCTCCTGGGGCAGCCCCATTGAAAGAAGTGCTGGTCTCTTGCCTTGTGTTGCCACCTAGTGTCCCAAATTCAGATTCATTTATTCACTGATTCCATCTTCCAGCAAAAATACATTAAACCTTCCCTCTAGCCAACTATGGAGGCAAATTGCCCCATCCCTCCAGTTGTTTTTAGGAATCCCTGCCGTCATTCTGCTCTAGACAGTTCCCCTGCTGTCCTTTGCTTTCTGTGAAAAGAGACTTTAACCTTTCTCTGAATATTCCAGGTAAATGTAATCCCAGTACTTCTTGCTGTGGTTCAGACTCATTCTCTTCTGTTAGTGTAAGTGGAGACTAGGTGCTCTGTAATCCCTTCCTAACAATCCATTTCCAGCCCAAATCTCTGGGTTGATGAGAGTGTCCCTTGAAAAGACAGCAAACGGGAGTAATGACACAGTGTGGGGTTAGACACTGCTGTCACCTATTTGACACTTCATAAAGAGTGTCTGTATATGTCAGGATATTTCATTTTTACAGCACTCTGCTGAGACTCATGGGGCATGTAATAGTATTCCCATTTCACAGGTGAGGAAACAGGCTAAAGAAAGTCAATAGCGCCGGGCACCATGACCTCACACCTGTAATCCCAGCACTTTGGCAGGCCGAGGCAGGTAGATCACCTGAGCTCAGGAGTTAGAGACCAGCCTGGCCAACATGGTGAAACCCCGTCTCTACTAAAAATACAAAAATTAGCCAGGTGTGGTGGCGCGCACCTGTAATCCCAGCTACTCAGGAGGCTGAGGCAGGAGAATCGCTTGAACCCTGGAGGTGGAGGTTGCAGTGAGCAGAGATCAGGCCACTGCACTCCAATCTGGGTGACAGCGGGAGACTCTGACTCGGAAAAAAAAAGTCAATAGCTGGGCATGGTGGTATGCGCCTGTGGTCCCAGCTATCAGGAGGCTGATCACCTGAGCCCAGGAGGTCAAGGCTGCAGTGAGCTGAGATCGGGCCACTGCACTCCAGCCTTGACAACTGGAGTGAGACCCTGTCTCAAAAAAAAAAAAAAAAAAAAAGAAAAGAAAAGAAAGAAAGAAACAAGTCGATTGACAGGGACATAGTGGAAAAGCTGAGCAAGTCACAGGTCTCCTGGCTCTCATTCAAAGTGGATGTTCTTTTTTTTTTTTTTTCTTTTTTAAATAGACGGGGTTTCACCATGTTGGCCAGGCTGGTCTTGAACGCCGGACCTCAGGTGGTCTGCCTGCCGTGGCCTCCAAAGTGCTTGGATTACAGGAGTGAGCCACCATGCCCGGCCTGAAGTGTATGCTCTTTACAGCAGGCTGCCCAAAAGAAAGGAATGGAAACCTAGAACTAGAGAGTTCCTCTCAGGCCGGGAGGAGGAGAAGACAGGCAGACGGCAGCGGTGTCACAAACCGTGCTCCAGAGGGGAGTGGATATGGCCCGGAGAATGAGGAGGGCATTTTCCCGCCTGAGAGTTGAGTGAAAATCTTTCTGTGGCACAAATACTCCTCCTGGTGGCCACACTAGGCTATGGCAGGGAAGAGAAAAGGAAGACGAGCTGGAGGGGCTGAGCTAGGTTGGGAATAGAGTCCCGAAGCAGCGTCATTTAATTGGCATTGATGTGACTTTCCAGAAAGGCAGACACATTCATTCTGAAGTGTAAACAGATAAAACCCAGTTTGAATGTATTTGATTTATTTTCCATGATTACCATACCTAACTAAGCTTTTAATCTTTTTTTTTTTTTTTTGAGACAGAGTTTCGCTCTTGTTACCCAGGCTGGAGTGCAATGGCGCGATCTCGGCTCACCGCAACCTCCGCCCCCTGGGTTCAGGCAATTCTCCTGCCTCAGCCTCCTGAGTAGCTGGGATTACAGGCACGCGCCACCATGCCCAGCTAAGTTTTTGTATTTTTAGTTGAGACGGGGTTTCACCATGTTGACCAGGATGGTCTCGATCTGCCGACCTCGTGATCCACCTGCCTCGGCCTCCGAAAGTGCTGGGATTACAGGCTTGAGCCACCGCGCCCGGCCTAAACTTTTCATCTTTACTAGGCACCGTTCTAAGTGTTTTACTTGCATTTTATTTAATACTGGAGGCCGGGCGCGGGTGGATCACGAGGTCAAGAGATCGAGACCATCCTTCCTGGTCAACAAGGTGAAACCCTGTCTCTACTAAAAATACAAACATTATCTGGGCATGGTGGCACCGCGCCTGTAGTCCCAGCTACTCGGGAGGCTGAGGCAGGAGGACTGCTTGAACCCAAGAGGCGGAGGTTGGGGTGAGCCGAGATTGCGCCATTGCACTCCAGCCTGGGTAATAAGAGCGAAACTCCGTCTCAAAAAAAGAAAAGAAAAGAAAAAAGGAAATAGTCCATATCCTCTGAGAACATGAAAGACTAGAGGGGGAGACACTTACAAAAATATCTCTGAGATGAGGAAAAATATGGTTAAAAAAAGGCAAAAATACTAAGAGTGGGAGTTGGAAGAGGTAGACCTAAATGACTCCTTGGAGGACTTGAAAGGGTTTTCTGGCTGGGTGTGGTGGTTCAAGCCTATAATCCCAGTACTTCTGCAGGCTGAGGAGGGAGGATTGCTTGGGCCCAGGAGTTTGAGGTTGCAGTGATCTATGATTGCCCCAGTGCATTCCAGCCTTGGTGACCCAGTGAGACCCTGTCTAATTTTTTTTCTTTTTTTATGAGATGGAATTTCACACTGTCACCCAGGCTGCAGTG